AAGAGTAAGCCATGGAATCTAGCAAGAACAGTGATCTGGATAACTGATCAGGAAGACGACACTGCCGACATAATCTAGGCTTGTCTTAATCCTGGTTGGGCCCCACATCCTGAAGCAGTACTTAGCTTCCTTAGTTACTCCTGTGGTTAGAAAATACTGCACTGTTACTAAATCTCCCGGTTTTGCAGGCCTCTCATGTACCTAAAAGAGATTTTCTTAAGAGTTTACACTTAAATCTCAAAGACCTTTTCTAATTTGGATCCTACTTCTCTGGAAGTGTTGGAAACAGGTGCAACTGCTTGATTGAGAAAGGCCCATAAAGCAGATGTATATGCATGGGAAACCCATTACCCCAGAAGTCACCCTCTGTTCCAGGGCTTTAAGAGTTCTCATTGCTCGCTTCAATTATGTCTGTTAGAGATTTGGAACTTCAGTTCCTCATTTGGTAGTGAAAAAAGGCAGTTCACAGATTGTGCAATTTTTAATTCATTTATTCAACACACATATATTAATTACCCACTTCGTGCCAGTCACTGTGCTAGGTGCTGGTGATAAAAATCTGCATGAAACAGTAGCTACCTCTAGGAGATTGCACTGAACCGAGGGTACCAAGTGATGAAATGAAGGTTTGTGCAGGTGGCTGTGAGTTCCCAATAGATTGACGGTTAACTGAGCTTAGAAGAGTCTTGGAAGCATTTAGCACAAGTGAATAAATGTAGTTGAATAAAGGCTGAGAAAAGGCATTATTGATGAGGTAACACTTTGACTGAACCTTGAAGAACAAGTAGGGTTTATGCAGCCAGGCAGAGAGAAGAGGAAGGCTGGTGGCGAAGAAACACATGAGTTCAGACACTGTGGCAGGAGCCATATGGGAGTTAACAAGTGACAGAGCCAGAAAGGGAGGAAGGCTTTAATGGTCATGCAAATCACCTGGAAAATCGTGGTAAAATACAGATTCTGACTCAGTGGGTCTAAAGTGGAGCATTTCTAACAAATCCCAGTCAGTGTCAGTGCTTCTGGTCCATGAGCTACACTGAGTCGCAAGAGCTTAGAGATCTATTTGAGTGTGATGGGAGAGGAGAGTGAAAAGTCCTAGTTAACATGTAACTTTCTGGATAAGATGATCTGGAGTGATGATGTCATGAGCTGCTAGAGGAAAAGTAAAAAGAGATTTTCAAGGAAATATAAATCTTGTTCTGTCTGTGTTTTGTTTTATTTTGAGGCACCTGTATCTAGGAAGAGAAATCTGGTAGGCCCTTGGATAAAATGAAAAAAGTAAAGCCATGGTTTCTGAGTGGAAGAGAAAGATGTGACTAAATGTAGTTGAGAAGGGGCTGCAAGAAAAGTGAGAGGATGATTAGGAGAAAACAGCATGATCACTTCTACAGAAAAAGTTTCAAGAAGGTAGGAATGGACATTGTCAAAATGTTGCAGAGAGATCAGGAAGGAGAAAGACCAGAATCCAGACTGCGAGGAGTTGAGGACTAGAAATGAGTGTTTTGATGAGAGCTAACTCAAGAGGGTGGACTGAAAAGCGTCAGAGAGTGTGATAGTAGACAGAAAAGAGCACAGGGTGAAGGGAGGGGTCCTTCCTTTTTCACTCCCTCACCCTTTTTTTCCCTTCCTTCTTTCCTTCCTCCTTCCCTCCCTTCCTTCCATCCTTCCTTCCTACCTTTTTTCCTTTCTTTCTTCCTTTTGGCAGTATTATTATAGAAATTTTCCAGTAAATCTCCATGTACGTCACACAGCTTCAACAATTATGTACATTTTTGCCAGTGAAAGGTGATTTCCTAGATGCAGCTGACTTAGATGTATTCATACACTGAGGAAAAAGAGCCAAGACAGAGGGAGCAGTTAAAAATTTAGGAGAGAAGGATGATAATTGACAGAGCAAGATTTTTGAGAAGTGGCAAATGATGGAGTGTACTACAGGTAGAAATCTGGGCTCCAGATAGTAAGACACTGTCCACTGAGGTAAGTGAAAAAGAGGCAGAAATCACTGGCCCTCAGAATCTGGTTGAAATTTCAGTTTCTAGAATCTTACTGTGCCAAGTTCTCCAGTTTCCCTCTGCCACTGCACTCCGCATCCATGCCTCAGTTGCTCCCTTGGAGTCATTCACGAATTTTTTTGAAGAATCGATTCCACCCAAGCATTTCACGAGTTCACTTGTTTTGCTGAAGATCCAGTGTCTATGGAGAATAGTCACATTACAGAGAACAACCATTTACCATTCTCCGTCTTGGGAGCAGCCTCTCTTTCTCTCCAAAGCCACAGAAGCCACTCGCCTTGTCCTGCAGACAGAACTCCTCTCTTGAGGAATAAAATGTTCTCCATCACTTAACACAAAGATTAAGTTTTTGGTCTCAAGTCAGGAAATGAGCAAAGTCATCCCTAATAACAATTAATTTCTCTGTGAAATAGGATGAGGATTCATTTGGAAGGAGCTCATTTGGCTGGATTGAAGAGGGAAGAAGATTTTAAGTGTGGCAAGGGTGTGGAATATTGCCAAAGCCTTCTTTTTAGCTTTACCTAAAATGATGTCTTGACTTCTAACAAAAGATAAAAACAGCAAAATGCCTCCTGACCCCCACCTCTGCCCCACAGACACTCATAGAAAGTGACAATAGGGTTATTAGGGGATGTTAGACTTCTATGAAGTGCCACTTAAATGGGTGGGACTGCCAACTAATCCCCTTTTGTGTTGACTGTGGGAAGAGAAGGTTGGGAAATGATGTCAGAAACTTTTCTCCATTTAAGTCTGAATAAGTAGACATTTGCATGAGCATTATCCTAGCCTTTCATTAGATAACAGCTTAATTCTAGAGGTAGAAATGTACACTCCAAGTATTTTATACAAGTTTCTTGTCTCCCAAGTATATCTCTCTTCCTGGCCCCCTTTTTGCTGGTGACATTTTGCAGGGAGTACCCAACGGTCGGAATGATGATTGAAGTCAGTGATTTCAAGATAATTTCTTTGCATTCTCTAAGGCTTTAGCAGTTGATTGCTGTTCAGCACCAACTGGGTAAAAATTGGCTAATTCTCTTGATAGAGAAAAAGATTTAATTGGGAAATAATTGACCTAAAAAGAGAAAAATGGATAGATGCTTAAAAAATTGTTTGGGTCATTGTTAAAAGTAGTAAGTAATTTGGAGTTAAAGTACCATAAATATAACAATATAAATACTGTATGTGTATGTTTACATAATTTACCTTATAATTATTTATGCTTAGCTCATTTTCTGCAGTTGAAGTATTTTTCTTATAGTGGAAAAAAAACATAAGGACTAAAAGAAAAGAATCCAATACTAGATCCTTAAAGTCTGTAGAAATTTGTAACTACACATATAAAAGTATATCAGCAATATGAATTATCCTCTCAGGAAAAATAACTCAGTCCAACTACTTCCCAGTCTACTCCTGTGATAGTATTTTTCTTTTAAATTTGATTAGTAGATGACAGTTTTTCCAGTGAATGATATCGATAATTTAAATCCGTGCTAAAAGACTGTGAGCAAAGTTGATGCTCTGAGTAAAACTGAGCTTCTCCCAGGTAAATAATACCAAAGCTTCAGAGTTTTTATGCCCACCAGGTATAGATGTTTCCCATGGACTCAGAACTTAAATAAGAAAAAAAAAACACCTTGATTCCCATGTATTTTAAATTATACATTTAAGTAAAGACAATTATGTTATATGGCCACTGTATTTTAAGAGGCAGGCATGGGAGGTATTACCATCTGGATTTTATGGATGAGAGAGCAGAACCCAGAGAGATTGCCATTTCCCCAGGGTAGACTGGAAAAACAAGAGTAAAACCAGAGCTAGATTTTCAGTTCCTAACTCCAAGCCCTGCCTCCTGACCCTCCTTGCTCCAACATCTGGAGGTGGCAGCAGCCTGTAGTAAGTGATTATAGTTCAGTTTTGACCACACAGTCTGTGCTCATGGATTGGCAGTACATTTTTTAGATAATGGAACTCAGCCACCAGAGTTAATGCTGTCAAGCGTAGTACCATGATGCTCCATTTAAATGAGCCACATCTTGTCCCCTACACTGCTGCTTTGTATAAACTGGGCCAACCTATTAGCCATACGTCATTTTAAAGAATAAACAGCTTGAGTTGAGACTTCTTGAAACATTAAGGCCTTTTAGCCCAAGACAGATTGATTCTCAGTAACAAGTGAGGGTCTTATTTCTTCAGCAGTCTCCAGAATTTAAGAATATAACTGAAGAGTAAAGAAAAGTGAGCAATCTGTCATCAGTGTATACATTTAAAAGGTTTTGCAGATAGAGAGAAATTCATGAGCAATTAATTCTTGAGTGCTGTCTGTGTTTCTCGTCCTGGTATATGTTGAGGGTATCAAGAAGACAGATGTGGTCACTCTTGACCCCTCAGGATCTTATAAGCTAATTGAGGAAACAAAATACACCAGGCAAAGGACTCTACATCTTCAGACAGAGCAAGATATGGTCAGATAGGTGTTTCAGTTTGGGTTGACCCCAAAGCAGACTCTGAGACAAGGATTTGAGTGCATGTCTTTTTGGAGGAAGGTGTAAAAAGCGTGGGAGAAGGGAAGTGAGACAAGGAAGGGAAGGCAGCCAGTAAAAGGAGAGTTATTAGACAGCGGTCACCGTAGGTGACCAGAAAGTAATCCTACAAGGAAACACTGGTAAATGGCCTAGAACACACACCTCAGAGTTATTCTTCCCAAAGAGGAGGGGAACTCAGGTCATTACATTGCAGCTCTTCTCAGGGCTAGACTTGGAATGCGGAAGGGCTCTCCCAGGGTATTAATTCCTCCAAGCTTCAGCTGGCCAAGCACCTGGGCAGAGCATGCTTCTGGCACCATGTGCAGAGACTGACAGCTGGAAGTCAGCCTGCATGTAGAAAACAGAGGAGTCCCAGGAATATGGGGAGGGAAGGGGCTGACAGCAGCTGCCACAGTAGCTTTCTCGGTGGAGGTGAGACATGAGGGTCCTCTTTCTCTTCTCTTCTCAGGTCTATTCATGGTCCTCTCCCTCTTGTCCATTGTGTACGGAGCCTTGCGCTGCAACATCCTAGCCATCAAGATCAAATATGATGAATATGATGTCAAAGTGAAGCCTCTGGCCTATGTCTGTATCTTCCTCTGGAGGAGCTTTGAGATTGCCACTCGTGTCATCGTCCTGGTCCTCTTCACCTCCGTCCTGAAGGCCTGGGTGGTGATAGACATACTCATCAACTTCCTCAGCTTCTTCTGCTACCCCTGGATCCTCTTCTGGTGCAGTGGCTCCCCTTTCCCCGAGAACATCGAGAAGGCCCTCAGTCGGGTGGGCACCACCATCGTGCTGGGCTTCCTCACCTTACTCTATGCCGGGATCAACATGTTCTGCTGGTCAGCTGTGCAGCTGAAAATCAACAACCCTGACCTCATCAGCAAGTCCCAGAACTGGTACCAGCTGCTGGCATACTACATGCTGAGATTCATTGAGAACGCCTTCCTCCTCCTCATGTGGTATCTTTACAAGACTGACATCTACATGTATGTGTGCGCGCCTCTGTTGATCCTGCAGTTGCTCATCGGGTACTGCACGGCCATTCTCTTCATGATGGTGTTCTATCAGTTCTTCCACCCTTGCAAAAAGCTCTTTTCGTCTAGCGTGTCTGAAAGCTTTCAGGAGTGGCTAAAGTGTGCTTGCTGTGACTGCAGGCGGCAGAAATCCTGTGAGTCTGTCGAAAAGACAGATCTGAGGTTTCCCGCAGACAGAGAGGAAACACCTTCTAGCAGTAAAATAAGTTCCATGCCCAGCCAGATCTTGAACACCGATGAGCTCTGTTCTGCGTAATGGGACCCAAGTCTCTTGGGGCACAGACATATTGTTTTCTGGGTTGTACCCTGTTCTTCATACATGTGATGGGCCCTGCGCAGTTAACAAAGCAGGAAGTTAGCTCTCAACTCCTTGTGAGTTGCTCCCCTTTAGAGAGCTCTTGGGCAGGCATGTGGGAACCATGGAGAGAAGCCAGGGAAAGCCCTGCGTGTTGGACGGGCAGCCTAAGGCACCACCATTCACAGTTGACCATGTTCTCCCAGGCGTTACTGGCTTTTTCACTGACACAGTACTCATGATATCTGAGTTGAGCTAGTTAGATCCATCGGGTAGAATGAGGGCAGGGGCTTTCTTGTTTCCTAGTTTTCTGGACTGCTGGTCTGGGTAGCCTAATGTTTTATTATCCCTGAGCATAGTTTTCACCCAAGAGCTGTCTGATGACTAGAGATGGTTACTGGGGTTTTGCCACCAGCCAGATCATTCCTGTCAGAGTTTTCAGAGAGAGCTGTTAAAGTTTGGTTTTTGAATAGACAGATGATCCATTGTCATCCCTATGGCTCTTTCTGCATAACCAACTGTCACAGCCTTGGCCTGCTATCTCTAATTGATTCAAAAGTCTGGACTTAGAGACTTCATTCTCAAGGATCCATGGTTGCAAAATTGGATTCTAAATTAGCTTGTGGACTTCCTCGAATTTTAGGAAAGTTGTGTTCCTTCAGTATGTTGAAGAACTTCTGGATCAAGAGGGTTGTTAAAACAGCATGATTTAGGCATTTGTAAGCTGAATTCTTACCTTCTTGTGGTGGTTAAAGATGTGAATCTGCTAGAAGGTAGGCTTAAACCTCTTCAAGTTTCAGTCCTGACAGTTCTGAGAGATTTCTAGGAGAATTAACTTGGATTTGCCTTCTTAAGATAGAAGAAAATAAAACTAATAGTCTTTACTCCACCTCTTCCTTGCCTGTCAGGACAGTTTTAGAGAAGAGTTACTTTGGTTAACTTAACTTTTTCTAGAAAGCTCCACAGAAATTTCTCACCTAGCACAGGTATATAGGGCATTTTAATTTTCATTATTTGAAGGAAAAAGGTTTCCCCCCCTCAGTTAGATACTGACTTCCAGAAACTTTTAAATTTTAGAAAGAGATGCCGTGACCAGAAGATTTTTATCTTTAACTGAATGCATTTTAATTTGGCATGATTATGAGTTAATTTGAACAAGATCTCCAATTTTCTCCTAGAATCTCTTATCTTCAGTATAATTTCTCTTTTAATCTGAAACCCTATTTCTTTCATGAAAAAATTGTGTAGCATATCCTCAGTTGTCTTGGAAAAATGCCTGGATCTGGTACCATTATTTCTACCATAAAAACCTTGATAATGAAGTACCTGGGAGCAGGTGACCTGTCATTGATGAGGCTGGACACTGCAGGTGGATCAGGGTTGACAGTCTTAGGACCCCTAAGGGTTGAACTTTCTGACCCATCCCGTTTCTAACTGTCAGGGTTAAAATGGTGAGTTTGAGCAGAAGTTGTGGTCAGAATTAGATAGGGACGGAGAGACTGGTACTTCCCCCGCCGTGGTTTAGAAGCCCGTCTCAAGAACCATTACAAAATCTGAGCCTTCAAATACATTTAAGATCATTTTAATGTAGAATATAGGTACACATCTTGAATGGCCCCAAACCAGACTAATACTGATGGCCTGTCTGACTCCCAAAGCCCAATTATAAGCCACATTTATAAGGATAAAGAGGTTTGGTAACCAAACTGGACATTTTGTCGCCTTTAACTCTTGATATGCAGAGACCCCCACTTTGGGGCCATATATGTCCAGTAACTTTGGGGGAGAGAAAGCACTGCTCTTTTTCTTCATGGTGAAAATTTAAGTCATAGTGAACTGAGAACTTTTGTTTTAAAATTATTTATATTATACCTCTGAAATGGCAAAATTATACTTCAGACTGCGGAACTGGCTTGCCATAAAGGCAAACAAACCAGCAAATTTCCTCATATCTTGAGAGCTGAAACATGTTTTTCAGTTATAATTCCAATTTTTAAAACTCTCAGTGCTTTGTCTAATTAATTACATGTCATAACTTGTCATGTCAGACACTCCAACTGAATCACTATCATTTGGCTGGTTGGAGGCAAAGTATTTCCTTGAAATATATTGAAATAAGATCATCAGATATGTTTAGACTTTCTCCATAACTGGAGACAGGACAGTATAGAGGTCAGCAATTCCCTGTCCAACCCTACAAGTTACTTAATTGCTCTGTGCCTCAGTTTCTTCCACCAAATTTGCATGATGTACTTGCCCGGCCTACCTCACAAAGTTGTCAGGAAGATCACATTAAATAATAGGTGTGAAAATGGTTTGAGAATATTTTTAAAGTGCCATGCATGTTTAAGGAATTGTTATTATAGTTATTCAAGCCCATAAACAGGTTATTGTTCTATTTTTACTGTTAGAAAAGAAACAAGTAGCATCATTCACATGAGTGTCTTGAGTGAATACGTCGGCCTTTGGTCTTAAGGAAGGGCAAGCGTAAATGGTCTTTACTCTCAGAGAGAACTCAGCAGCCGCCCTTTCTCTTACCATCAGTTGCTTATAAAAATTAGCACCCAAACATATGTTACTTGGAGGAAAAAGACCCACTGGAATCTGAGAAATTGCTTTTGATAGCAAATGAGTTTATCATTTTTGTATCTGTCATCGTTCATAAAGGACATAGCATCTTTTGTTAATTTTGGTTTACAGTTTGAATGCCTGATCTTGCTAGACTTTAACTGAATGTGGGTATAATCTTTTCAGCCTTGTAAATGGGAAAATAAAAATTAAAATTGGTTGTCAAATACAGCATTTCCTTGGAAACCACGTTAGAACATGAGTGCTGTGATTATGAGTGTGTGTGTCAGTACTTCTCAGCCAGCACATTGTGGATGTGAGCTTCTGCAGGCTGCTTCTCTGCAGCCATTCACTCTAATAAATATTGTGTATGTTTCTTCATATAATAAATTAATTTTTCGTTTTCTCCTTTTTCATTCCTTATACAGTCCTTTCCTGACTTTTTGACTTCAGGGACTATTATAGAAACAAATTTGAGGAGGGAGGGTATAGCTCAGTGGTAGAGTGCACACTTAGCATGCATGAGGTTCTGGATTCAATCCCTAGTATTGCCATAAAAAAAGAAACAAATTTGAAAATGATTTTGTTGTGATTAATTATGATTTTGTGACTTCCCCTGGAAAGTTTGTCTGTAGGATGAGAAATTTGAGAGTGCTAGTATTCTGCTTTGCGAGGCACCAACAGTCCATGGAGTCTCCTCTGATTGTTTCATAAGCATTTACTCCATGGGTTAAAGCTACACTGATAGATACTAAAATTCCACTCAAACACAAGTGGTATGCTGGTCCAGAAATATAAAATACCAGATGAGCAAATCAATATTAACATAAACAGATAGCCAAAGGTAAATGACAATCCATTCCTGGAAAAAAATCAGGTTTTTTTTCCATGTCCAAATGCAATATTTTATTTTTTTATTGAGGTATAATTGATATATAATGTTATATTAGTTTCAGGTGTACAACATAATGATTCAACATTTGTATCACTGCAAAATGATAACTGCAATGATTTGATTTACCATCCATCACCATACAAAGTTATAAAAAAATTTTTCTGATGAGAAGTTTTAAGATTCACTCTCTTAGCAAATTTGAAATTCACCATGCTGTATATTACATCCCATGACATTTATTTTATAACTGGAATTTTATGCCTCTTAATCCCCTCTACCGATTTCTCTCCCCCCCCCCAATTCCCCTCCCCTCTGGCAACCACCAGTCTGTTTTCTGTATCTGTGAGGGTTTTTTGGTTTGTTTTAAGAAAGACAAATACCATATTATTTCACTTGTATGTGGAGTCTAAAGAACAAAACAATCAGTTATTAAAGGGGTCATTTCAGAGCGTGAGATAGACATAGATTGTTGGAATAATTCCTTTTCCTCTGAAGGTGGCCTTGCAATTTGGAAAGACTTAGCTAGAAGATAAAGTCTTTTGAAAGAGATCCATTGGTATTCAATCAACCCCTTGAGAAAACTGGCCATCAACAAGTGTAGTGTTTAAGTAGGCCAGTCTAAAATTACTTCACTTAAGGGAGGGTACGGCTCAGTGGTAGAGTATATGTTTTGCATGTATGAGGTCCCAGGTTCAATCCCTGGTACCTCCATTAAAAAACATTTAAAATTACTTCATTTGTTGTTTGTAAGTGTTTTTTCTTTTGAAATCATTTCAAGCTAATAGAAGAGCCTTAAGAATAGTGCAAGGACTTCCTTTATCCTTCACCCACTTTCATGTATTAATATTTTGTCACATTTGCTTTATAATTCTTATTTCCCTCTTTTGCCCTTTTATACCTAAATACTTCAATGTGTATTCTCTTATACACTGAACAGAGGCATTCTCTTACACAGCCACAAAACGATGATAAAATTCTGGAGATTAAACAGGAATACAATAATAGTATCTAATCTAGAGTTTATATTCCATTTAACAATGGTACCAATTACATTTGTTTTCACAAAACTTCCTTAAAATGTGATTCTACTCCGTTCTCTTCACTGGGGTCTCTTTATTTAAAGTTATGAGTAAGTTTTAACTTCCCTATGAATGCTGGGAAAACTATGGCAGACTTTGAAAATCTGTTTGAAGAAAACTCACATTATCAGTACTGACTAACAGCTTAAAAGCATAAATTTGGGATGTTTACTGGTGAACTGTGGGTAATTCTTCATGGATATTCATTTTAGGCATCAAATGTTTGCTGCTTAATATGTGAGCCTGTAGTTCATGCCTCTCCCCTGCCCCACTGTGATGGTTCTGTTTTACAGCGTTTAGGCCCAAGTTTGCAACGATGAGGAAGAGGGTGAGGGAAGTACAGTATATATTATTCTGCCATGACCGTATTTCCCCAGTGCCCCCTCCAGGAGACTGTATTCTCTATGAACATCTTTCTAAGTGGGAAAGAGCTCAGAAATACCAACTAGACACTAATGAGTGACATTTTGAGCCTTTTCTCTTTTTCAGAAAAAGGCACTTCATCTCAGCAGAGATTTGTACAGAGCTGGGAATTCAGAGACATCCCCAATCCCTTCCTTCCCAGCACACAACAAACCCTATCAGACTAGACCCTTAACCCGCTAAGAAGGTGTGTCCACTGCAGAAGCCTGCCCGAAAGAAAGCCTCACTCCTCCCAGTCACCCTCTCGGCGTGGTTGTTGCTCTGGAAATTACTCCAGGAGGTCTAAAACAGTGCTGGTTCAAGCAGGGTTTGGACCTCAGAGCATCTCTGAGGATGCACAGCACGATGTAGCAGCGTCTTTTTGCAGCAGGTTATCAGGAAACGTCCCACTCAGACTCCGCTGTGTGAGGTTGCAGGGTTTGCCTCCTCCCAAGGATTCAGCCAGAGAGGTTTTGAGATTCTGCCTGTGCTCCTGTTCCCTCCCTGCCTCCCATCCTGAATTAATTCTCTCTCTCCAAATGATGAGTTCCTGATTGAAGCCTGATTAGCCTGCTTCCTAGAGCCCTGGGACATCAGCCTCCGTAGACATCTGCATTATGCATACCGGGTTAATTTCTTATCAGTCGGCTTCCTATTTTAATTACCTAACTCGACAGTTAATGAGGCGGGTTTTCAGGAGCGATAGCACTCAAGAAACAAAACAGGATTTAGAGATTCTATCTGGGAGCAATGCTGCAGGACCATCCCCGCCACCACTCCAGTGGAGAGGAGACTGCTTCCCTGGTGTCGCCTTCTCCTAACAAGGTGACCTTCTTAAGTGGACTGGCAGAATGTTTGAGAACAATGGCGCCCAGCTGTAGAGCTGCAGACCTCCAAGAATTACAGAGGCATTGCGCTCCTGTCCACTAACTAGAGATGCTTGACACTATCTGGGGATTCCTGACACACATCTGTACACTTGTTTTTCATACCCACGGGGGTGCTGTTGTGAGTGATAAAACAGGACTGATTAAAAGTGTCACTGTATTTAAAGTAACTTTGTCATTACCCCCCAGGCCCTACCATGAACAAGTGTTAAAAATTCAATCACTATCATGTGGGAAGTGACCTTAAAAGACCTCCTTTGTCATTGAAAATGTTGGGAACTACTACCCTAGAAAGTTTTTTCACCGATGGACTATTTTCTCCCATATACTTAGAGTATATTCTTTTCCTTTTATTTTTTTTTAATTGTTTATTGAAGTGTAGTTGATTTACAATGTTAGTTTTAGGTGTACAGCAAAATGATTGTTATACATATACATGCACATATATTTTTTCTTTTCAGATTCTTTTCCATTATATGTTATTACAAGAAACTGAATATAGTTCCCTGTGCTATACAGTAGGTCCTTGTTGTTCATCTATAATATATATAGAAATTTGTGGCTGTTAATTCCCAACCCCTAATTTATCCCTCCTGGTCCTTTCCCCTTTGGTAACCATAGTTTGTTTTCTATGTCCATGAGTCTGTTTTTGTTTTGTAAATATAATTTGTATCTTTTTTTTTAGATTCCACGTATAGGTGATATCATATGATATTTGTCTTTGTCTGACTTACTTCACTTAGTATGATAATCTCTAGGTCCACCCATGTTGCTGCAAATAGCATTATTTCATTCTTTTTTATAGCTGAGTAACATTCACTGTGTGTGTATATATATATGCATATACATATATATACACACATACATATCTATATATATAGAGATATATATATAGATATATATACACATACATACACCATCTTCTTTATCCAGTCATCTATTGATGGACATTTAGGTTGTTTCCAAATGAGGGTTGTTCACACGTGAATCACTTGGCTTGTCTCATTCCCAGCTTCATTCAAGAGATGATAAAATCTTTTTATTTTAAAAATGTAACGTGAATGTTCTACCTTCAAAAAGTAAATTATCTACCTTTACACAAAGTATGTCATCAAGGTGAAATGCTTTTACAATTTCAAAGCACTAAAAAAAAGTTATGTTATTATCATAATAACCATCAAAATAATTAAGTGATTGCTACACCTTCTTCAATTCACCTCCCAATTCACTTCCTTGGCCTTATCAGAAACTATATCAAAGTGTTTTCAGCTACAATTTGTAGAACAGCTGATTAGAAGTGGCTTAAACAAGAGGATTTTGTTACCTGACCTAACAAGAAGTTTGGTTGCTTCCTCTTCACATTTGTCTCTTTACCATTACAAGAGGGCAGCCTGGGCTCCCGGCATCACATCTACAAAACTGAATCCAAAATTAGAAAAAAGGATTTCCCTTTGGGTATCTCTGTTCTTTCAGGAGGAAAGTCTTTCCTAAAATCACCTACCAACTGCAGCAAAATTCCCCAAATGTCCTACTGGCCGGAGTTGAGTCGCTTCCCTACCTCTAAAGCTGTCTCTGGCAAGGAGAATAAAACATGGTCGTGGTTTCCTGTGACTGCACAGCGTTCACCCCTCGGGGCTGGCCAAGAGGCCACCACCTTTCAGCTTACAGGAGGAAGAATCCCCACAGAAATGTGGTTCTGCAAGCAACAAGGAGTGGAGGAAATTGCCATTTGCTGAGCAACCTGACATTTCCCTGTCATTTTAAAAACTAAAGCTTCAGCTAGGCTGATGAATTGGGGAAGAATGTGGAAGTTCCCTACCCCTCCCCCCACCCAAAAAAAGTCCTGTACTTCCTTCATCTCCTTTTGCATTATGTGTCCCTGGTTAAGAAGTTCTCAGGAAGAAGTCATATATTGAATAAATATGGCAATTACACCCAGCTATCTTGTGAGAATGCCTACTAATGGGATTGTCTTTGTGTCGCTGGAGTGAAATTGTAGGTCTGTGGGTATCTAAAGGAGTTAGGAGGAGAATTCTCAGCTCTGAAGAATCAGGAATCCTAGAGGTTAGAAGGGGAAACCAGATAGTCATATTAGTTCAACAGACACTTCACGAGTGCCCGCGTCTGCCAGGTGCTGGACTCGGCTCTGAGGGTAGACTG